CGCACGACTATCCAACTTGACTTTCTGTTGCATTACGAGGTCTTGGTCTCTTCGGCTCAGAATATCAGCCTTCAGGTTATTCTTACCTGCCGTATACGTAATGTGGAAGTTGAAGTCGGATAGTAGTTCCATCCATCGCACCTGCTTCGCGGTGAGAACCTTCGTCGTCATGAAGTATTCGAGCGAGCGGTGGTCCGTATACACCTCGACTCGCTGCGTAACAGAGGCCAACTCAGGTCTCCATTTCGCGAACGCTTTCACGATGGCGAAGAGTTCCTTGTCATGGATTTCCCAGTTGATCTCATGGCCGGTAAGGACGTGGCTGTAGAAGCTCACTGGGTACCAGAGCTGGTCCGGGTGCTCTTGTGATAGCACGCCGGCGACGACTCCGTCTGAAGAGTCGGTCTCTAGCTTCGTAGGCAATTCGGGGTTGAAGTGGTGTAGTGCCTGCACCGCTAGTAGCTGCCGCCGTAATTCTTCAAAGGCGTTCTCACATTCCTCAGTCCATAGGAACGGCTCCGAGGGGCTCGTGATGGTAGTCAGGGGCTTCGCGATCTTCCCGAAATTGCGTATGAACTGGCGTAGAACCCACAGAAGCCTAGATAGGATTTCACACCGGTAACGGTGGTCGGTCGAATCCAGTTTCGAAGGGTTCGATCTTGTCGGGGTCCGCCTCGACACCGGAAGTGGTCAGTATGTAACCAGGTACTTAGTTCGGGTAACATTGAACTCGCACTTCTTGAGGTCGGCTTGTAGCCCTGCCTCACGAAGGCGCTGTAGGACTTTGTGTACGTGCTCTATATGTTCCGTAGGGTCCTCGGAGTATATGAGAATGTCGTCGAGGTAAGCCGTACAGAAGTCGTCCAAGTATTGCATGAGGACGTCGTTCATGTAGCGCTGGTACGTTGCGGGGCCGTTGGTCAGTCCGAACGGCAGCACCTTGCACTTATAAGATCCATATCGAGTCCGAAAGGTAGTATACTCTTCGGAGTCAGGGTGCATTCGTATGCGATGGAAGGCTTGTCGGATATCTAGTTTCGTGAAAATCTTGGCTTTCGACACCCGTCCAAGTAGTTCGTCGATGCGCGGTATAGGGTACGGATCGTTGCGGGTGAGTCCGTTCAGCTTGCGGTAATCAATGCAGAACCTCAGTTTGCCGTCCGCTTTCTTAACGAAGAGTATAGGGGACGCAAAGGGGCTATTGCTATTGACGATGAAGCCTTTCTCCAGGTTCTCCAGCAGGTATTGCTTGGTAGCCTTAAGCTCTTTGGTGCCTTGCCGGTAGAGCGGGGAGAAAGCGTTTGGTAACGGCGCCTCTAGCTGTATCTTATGATCGTATACCCGGTGTGGTGGTAATTTATCAGATTCCGATTTTGAGAAGACGTCGTGTACTTTCGGTGCACAGGCGGGAGTTTCTCCTGGATGAGTGATATCGTCTCGTCATCCTCTTCGGATTCTTTTCCCGAATGATCTGATCGATCTCGTAAAGGCTGGTCTGGAAGAACTCGGCATCGCTTCGCATCATCTCGTGGTGGAAGGCGTTTGCACCGATCTCGCAGATGTGCACCGGCGTGAAGCTTTGTACAGGCTTCGCCGGTGGCAAGAAAGGTACCCCTGGGATCTGAGGTGTACTCGGGCAGTGTCGGTGGTCATTCCGGAGTCCGAAATTATCACTTTCATTTCCATCGAGCGTCCGCCTGCGCGGCGTCTGTCTTCGTGGTGGATTGCGGCATCCCTACGATTCGCATCCGACTGGTGAGAAGGATGTCGAATGGACGTTTCGCGCGAGTGGTAGGGCAAGGTGATCTCCTTGCTCCAGCTAGGAGTAGGCGGGTACTCCTTTGGCCATACTAGCCGGCTCTTTGCAGAGTCGAGTAGTATTCGGAAGCGGCTGAAAAGCTTCCTCCCAATTATCACATCTTGCGCTCCGAGGTCCAGGAGCACAAAGGGGCAGTTATATATTCGGCGTCCTTCGACTGTTAAGTGCAACCGAATATACTCCGATACGTGACTTTGGATTTTTCGCTGAAAACCACGTATGGGTACAGAGTAGGGCAGTTTCCGTATGGGGCTCTGAAGCGCCTTCGACAGTCGTAGCGCGAAGGGCTTGTTGATGACGAGGTATCCGTTTGCTCCTGTGTCTGCGAGAGCCTTCGTTTGCACACCGAGTCCGTTCAGACTCAGCGTCGTGTCGACTAAGAACTGGGTTCCGCCCAAGAGTTCTTGTAGGTCGAGATCTCGCAGATCACATTTGCGTAGACCTAGGAAGGAGCCTTTCCCTAGGCCTCGTCGTTTTCCTCCAGGGACGCATCCGATTGGAGTTCGACTGCCTCCTCCCACTGCTCTTCGGGTTCAGGGGCTTCGCGGTCAATCTCTTTGACTGTGGGGTTGAGCGGGCACCTGTCCTGGAAATGACCGGGCTTCCCGCATTTGAAACAGTTTCCAGACGCAGCCGGCACGGCGGTCCGCACGCGACCTGTTATGTCCGGCTTGGGGGCGGTGGGTATGAAAGGAGTCCTCTGGAAGGAACCCAACGGACTTCTTGTCGTCTTCGGTGGTTGGGTCTTGGCGGCCTCCACAGGCGGGAACCTGGATGAGCCGAGGCGGGCCCGTCCTGGGAAGCTCGACTCGCTGCTCTTGGACTGGGAGCTCAACTCGCCGTTCCTGCGTCGCTCTTGGTCGAAGGCGGTTAAGGCTCGGACCATGGTGAGGTAATCGCCTTTCCATTGGTCCTTCACGACCGCCACGCGGCTGCGGAATTGCGGTGTGAGCTTGTTCCACATATACCGAAACCACTCCGATTGTGATACTTGTCCCGTAATCGCCGCACTTTGGAAGCGGGCTTTGAACTCGGGGAAGGTTTCGTGTAAGTGACCCTTTTCGCCCATCTGCATATCGTCGAATTCGTTCCGGGCCTGTTCGGTCTCATTACCCGTAAGGTAATATGATCCTAATAGGTCCATCATTTCGTCTGCGCTCTGGAAGCCATGCGTATCCGATAGGTATTGGGGTTCTAGATATTTCTTTGCTAGGCCGGTCGTAGTTCCCCATATCAACGCTCTTCTCGAGACGTCGGTAGGGTAGTGGTCCTCATTGACTACAAGTCGGTCCCGAATGGACGCGCTCCATTGCATAAAGGTATGTTCTATCCCATCGCTGAGCGGCGTAATCTTCTCAGAGATGGTGGATTTCTTGTAACGGTTCGGAGGGTCCACGGTGTACTGTCGGGGTAGACCCGGGATTGAAGGAGAGCGCGCATTGTCGACAGGTGGCAGTCGAACGGTGCCGGGCGTGTTTCGCATTGTCGGTGCAGGCTGTTCGTCTTCGTCGGCCTCAATGGTGCGCACTGGGGCGTCGGCAGCCGGTGGTGGCGTAGACGGTATTCGGGTCTGGCTAGCTACGAGGCTGGCTACCATCGCCTTGAGCTCCCGCATCTCGTTCTCGAGGTTCGCTATGCGATCCGGGGGGCTTTCGGATGGCCCTGCGGTCGTGCCCGCTGTGGCGGTTTGCCTAGTTGTCATTCGTAGCGGTTGACCGTCATTGTCGGGTGGTGGGTTTTGTGTCGTCTTGCGCGACATCTTGATTCGGGGGTGTATCGAGTCGCAGTCGATACGGAAGAGTTTGACTTCCGGTAGCTCGTAGCTATCAACACTCTTGTTCACAATTGCCTCTGTGCTTGAGGGGGTTCTTTAGGATCTCGTATCCTATTCGGCGCCAACGCGTCGGCGACTTTACCAGCTTGCTCTGCAGGATCAAACCCTGATCCACTGGCTGTCCGTGAGTTCTCTGGGGTCACGGCTATTTGGAGTCATCAGGTCTCTACTTCGAAATGTCACCGAGTCGCGGTCGGTGGTGTTTCGACAGTTCTCCTGAGTCGTTCCGGTTGTGGGATATTCTTTGAGTACGGCCGTCCCCGGCAGGCGTGATCTTTTTTGTATAATGTAAGGACGCAGGGCACCGTATCACGAGAAGTGGCATATGGGAGTGCGAGTCGGATATGAGTCGGTGCAATCCTATAGGTCTACTACGAAGGATACAAAAAAGATGAAAGGGGAGCTTATAGCTTCCTACCCCTTATGTACCTAAATGGGGTCCGACTCGGCTAGGCCTTAGCGTACCGGTAGATCCACTCCCGTCTGCCGCCCGAATCGACCCCGACCCTAGAACATCTATGCTGCTATACTACTATGTCGCCTATTCCGCGTTGTCTTACGGGTCCGAGGGTACCCCGTGTAAGGAGGCATCCTTACATACATGCGAATTGACTATTACTACAGCTACTACCACCTTATATAATAATCCCTATTCAATCGTAATTGATTCATATCCTAACGCCTTTCAATTTATGTTTTTGCTGCCGTGAAATACGTTAATCATGATTATAATTGATTTTCTAACCCTGAACTACCCCATGCAATGCCATTCATTTTCCCCGAAACAATTATGTTCCATTAGGTTCGCGGTTTCGATTCACCATGGGGTGAAATTTTCACAACAACATTAATATATTTTATTTTATTTTACATTTCTTTAGATTTCTAACTACGACTAGACATCAGGCTATCAGAATCTGGATTTATCATTTTGAGGAACTCTATCCACCCGAGTAGTTATCAGTCACCAACAATAAGGCCTGATTATCTCCGAGTCTGAATTACAATATGTGATAAATGAAGCTGAAAGGGTTTGTTTACATCGTATGATAACCTCGCGCCCATCGCTCCTTCCACAACAACTCAACTCAACTCGCACCTTCTCAATCCCCCTCCTTCGCGCCTTCCCTATTAAATTATTACATTCTTATCGAGAGTAAATTCCCAAGATGGCCACCCCCCATTCACACCCACCCAAGCCATCGCTCAACTCTATAGCTCCCAACATCCATCCCACACTTCTCAGACCCCACGTCACATCACCATATCCCCAACCCCTATTATCTCATCCTCTCCCCACCGCACCTCACGCCACCCCCCACCCCCCAAAAAAACCAACACCCCACAATGCCCAACCGTGACAGAGGCAGTAAAACAGACCATAGCGACAACCCCCCCAACTTCGACAACAACGCATTCAACACAACCAGCCCATCCAGCCCATCATCATACCTCGGCCGCAGCCCACCCAGCTTCAGAACCGGCTTTGTTGATCCTAACTTCGACGTCGCACGTATCGGTCCCTATCTTGGCCCGGAGATCGAAGCGGAACTACAAGCTGCGCGTGACGCGAGAGCATGGAGGATTGAACAAGGTGTTAGAGAGGAGTTGGCCCAGGAGCCCTACGGAGGGGAGGAGTTGGCTCAGAAGGCCTACGGAGGAGATTTTCTGGCTCAGCAGGCCTACGGAGGAGCCTACACCTAAGAGTCGCTGGCTCTGCCACCCTACGGAGGAGAGTCGGTTGCGCCCCTCGTTCCGGAAGAGAGTGTTGAAGATAGGCTGGGATATCTACTGACCGAACCCGCTGCGGCCGCTGCGGCTGTTACGACTGAGGCTGTAAGTGCCTTGAACCCCCAACTACAGTCGCTGCACTAAGGGTCTATAAGAGAACGGTTAACGTGAGAAAGTGGGAAAAAGCAGCTCTTGCGGCCTTGACCACCGAGCCCGGACCAAGCAGACTATCTGCTACAGCTCCTCCCTCAAGCCACGGGAAAGTGGCCCAGAAGTAGTAGTGTCACTTCAGGACCTCGCCGCCGGACAAGGTGGAATATCTAACATGGCGCCTCCCCGCCAGAAAGCGGTCCCAGAAGTTGGAGCACGGCTTCACGACCTCTCCGCCGGACAAGTCGGAATGTTTAACACGGCGCCTATCCCCACCCCCCAGGGAGTAAACCTAAACCTCGTAGCGCAGCTCCAGAATCTCCTCTACCAACCAGGCGGAATACCCGACGTGTTTCCTGCCGGCCTAACCCAGATGCCGGGCTTGGATCCGCACTTACTGGCTAACCTGCCGCCTCCCCCCTCTGCCCCCCTGCCGGACCTAGAGACGCAGTTTCGCGAGATGTTCGCCAAGTTGGGCGCTGCTAATGCGGCGCAGGCTGCTGGGCCTGCCGAGCCCGTTGTTCCCGCTGCATCAAAGAAGTTGGTCGTGGTGTGCTGTCTGGCGACGTGGATAGGGAAGAAGGATACGGAGGATAAGTGGGTTGCGATGCCAGGGCAGGGGACGAGGAAGGGGTGGGGGATGGATATGGCGAATCCGTCCGAGAGGGAGTGTTGGAGGAGACAGATTTGTAAGGGGTTGGAGGTGTTGAAGGAGATGGATGGGGAGGGGGTGTTGATGTTTTCGGGGTAAGTTCCCATTTTTATATTTCGTCACCTGATTTGGGTCCGAGGGATTTTTTAGGGTTGTTTTGGTTTGGCAGTTTGTTTGGCTTTGGTATTTTGTTATCTTTGTGGTTTTTTCATATTTTGCATGTTTGTTTCATTACTGTCCTGAGATTTACGATTTGCTTGGTCTTGGCTCTCCTCTGTTAGTACCTTGACCTTTATAATCCCTTCCACTTGTTTTTCTTTTTTCTATCTTGGGACTTATGATTTGTCTGGGCTTCATTACTCCGTGGAATAGTATCTAACATTATGTAGGGGCCCATGGTATGACAACAGAATCTCAGCGGCAAAATCATACCGGGATTTCGCCAGAGCTTCAAACTATTGGGGCTACCTCAAGGGCGACAAGTACAAAGATTACTCCTCCCGCATCATCACCGAGGACCGCGCCATGGATTCCCTCCAGAACGTCATGTACTCCCTCATCGAGTTCAACATCCGCTACAAGAACTTCCCGGAGGAAATGACGGTCATCAGCTACGAGCTCAAGCGCCAGCGCTTCGAAAACTTGCACTTCAAGACGGCCAAAGCGATACTGTTCCCGACGGCGCAGGCAGGTATCGATGTCTCATGGCAGGGAATCCCGACATTTATCGGCATCGACCCGCGAGATCTGACGGAGAATTACAGATCCGAGAAGGCAATCGCTATAGGTGAGCTGGAGATGCAGATAATGGATCTCTGGACGGGATCCCCGTATGGCCTTTCGGAGGAGTTGATGAACAGAAAGGAGAAGAGGAATAGGTGGGGGATCGATCTCTATTATCAACTTGTTTTTGCGGGGGGGGCTGAGCTGGTTGCGGCTCTGGAGAGGAATGCTAAGGCAGCTCCTCCTATTGAGGAGGTTATGGATATGAGTGTGAATTGAGGGTGGGGCGTTGGGCTGGGTATTGTTCGTGTATAATTTGTTTTTGGGGGGCATTTTGGCACCATTGTAGAGTTTATCGGTAGGATAGAGGGTTATGGAGTTGAGTGGTATGGTATTGGATTAAGGAATTAGGAGGTTGGTACGTAGTGGGGTCGTTTATGCGTAATGGTAGTATTGGAGTTTCACGGCAGGATGGAGGGTTATAGAGTTTGTTGCATAAACCTGATGGCATTCAAGCTCAATTTTATACTTGTTGAGATGAGATACTGTACTTGCTACACCCGGCTATAAACTTCCAAACACATCCAACCCACACATTCTACAACTTATTCTCCTCCTGCGCCGCCAGTACCCTAAACCCATGCCTGGGCGCATGCACCCTTACCGTCCCCTTCTGCGTCTTAACCTCAATCACAATCTCCTCCCCATCCAACCCCACCAACGTCCCCTGATCCTTATGCGTAACCCCCGAATCAGTAGGATGCACCAGCACCTCCTGCCCCGCCTTCAACCCCACCGGATCCCTCTCATCCACTCCCCTCAGCCCCTCCGCCCACTCACTCCCCCAAATCTTCTCCGCGGCCTCGAAACCCTTAAGTGCCTTCGCATTCCCATTCGCCTTCCGCGCAGCCCCCACCGCGGCATTGAAACGCTCCACCCACGCAAACACTTTAGGAAATGTCTCCTTGCTCGCCACCTCAGCGGGAATGGCGCCGGGCATACCGAACACCCAGTGGAGAGGCCATATGGCCTCGAGATCAACGCTCGAGACCTGGGGGGTGTTGAGGAGCCACTTCCGCCCGTCGGCGAGGAGTCCGTTCTCTAGGAAGGCGATGGCGGCGCGGACTTCGACTAGGGATTCTGGACGGGCGCGCTCGAGGAAAGCGGCGGACCAGGGACGGCCGCTCATAGCGGCGCGGTCGGCAGTGAATTTAGGGTCCTTGAATAGAGGGAGGGAAGTAGGAATCAGCAGCGCCGCACGGCCAAAGAGACCGCCGTCCGTGGTGGAGGTGGAGAACAGTGCAGCGAGGGCGCGGTGCTCGGGGGTGGTGGGGGAGAGCGCTGGGTGTGCTGAGGAGGGGGGGAATAGCTCGTCGAGCTTGGAGAGGATGAGGCGCGTGTCGTTGTAGATGTCCCGGCCGATGGCGACGATGGGGATGCGGCGGTAGGCGACGCCCAGGGCCTCGACGTCGGGGCGCGGCATGATGGGTGGCTGGACGCATTCGGAGAAGGGGATGTTGCGGAGGTTGAGGTACCAGACTATACGACGAGCGTAGGGAGAGTAGGAGTAGTGGTAGACGATGATATCTCTTGAAGAAGACATGGTTGCGGTTGGTGGTGTTTGGAGGTTGAAGTTTATAGATATTGGAGTGACGTGGTTACAGGTTGCTTTATATCCAATTCGAGTCGGGCAGATCAATTGCTTCGCCGTAGTAAATCTCTTGACTTGGATAGTAAGATGTGCAGTTCAAAGAGAGATAGCTTCAATTAAAAGGATCAGTGACTACTTATCATTGTGTTCTTGGATCTTGGAAGTTGGCACGACAAGCATTAAAAGTGTGGGGTAGCTAGTTTGGGGAGCCGAGGTCCCCAAAAGCCAAGGAATCTGGATGCATCTTCAGCCCACTCTTAAAAACAGCCAATCACGTGCCTTAAATTTACAGCCGTCCCGTCAGATAGATTGTTGAACAAATAATTGGAGTTTGACGACTTGATTGAGTAAACTATGGGTGCGAAGCCCTATATATACATATAGCCAGTATACAAGCTACAGAGAGAGAGCACAGGACCACCTATCTTCCATCATTCAAGCGCCAAATCATCGATGCCGATGTTTACTCCATCATGACTTCGTGCAACTCGTACGACGGTGTCGCCAGAGTTGCCAACTACCACGTCTTGACCGAGATCTTGAGGAACGAGTGGGGCTACAAGTACTTCACCATGAGTGATGCGAGTGGAACCGATCGCCTCTGCGACCAGTTCAAGATGTGCAAGTCTAACCCTGTCGATATGGAGGCCATTGTCAACTAGTAAGTAAACTTTCGTACTGAGAAAGTTCCATTCTAACCATCACAAGCTCTTCCCGCAGGAAACGATGTCGAGATGGGCGGTGGATCCTACAGCTTCATCCAGATTCCCAGGCGAAGTTCACCTGTGGCCTTTTCGAGAACCCATACCTCGGCGACCCAGCAACGGAGACCCCGAAGCATCATCCACACCAAGGAGAGTGTTGCTCTTGCTCGCCAGATTGATACCGAGTCGATTGTGTTGCATGAGAACCACAACATCCTTCCCCTGTCAAAGACCGCCAACGTTGCTGTCATCGGGCCAATGGAACATGGTTATATCAACGTGAGTTTTCTTTCCAATATCCAACACTAGAATATTTTGCTAATAATATGCAGTACGGCGACTACGTAGTAAACGGAAGCTACCTCACCGGAGTCAGCCCCTACGACGGCATCAAAGCCGCCAGCTCTGGCTGTAAGTCCCCCGACAATCCTAGAAAATCGACCCCCCTAACACATCCCAGCCACCACATTCACCCAAGGCTGCGAGCGCTGGCTCCGACCAATCCGGTTTCGCCGACGCCGTCGCTGCCGCCACCGCCGCCGATGTCGCTGTCGTAGTTGTCGGCACCTGGTCCCGCGACCAGAACCAGCTCTGGCAAGGCCTCAACGCCACTACCGGCGAGCACGTCGACGTCTCGAACCTTAACCTCGTCGGTGCCATGCCCCACCTCGTCAAGGCCATCATCGACTGGCAAGCCCACCGTCGTCGTCTTCTCCTCCGGAAAACCCATCAATGAGGCTTGGATCTCGGAGTACCAATCCGAGGAGGGTGGAAACTCCCTCGCTGACATCCTTTTCGGCAATGAGAACCCATTCGGAAAGCTCTCCGCTGGCTTCTTATATGATGTAGGCACCACCCCGGTCTACTACGATTACCTCAACTCCGGTCGTCCCGTCGATATCGGCAAGGAATACGAGGACGGCACCCACCAGTATGTCCTCAACAACCCCCTCCCCCTTTACGAATTCGGCTACGGCAAAGCTACTCTACGTTCGAGTACGGCCCTGTCAAGCTCTCCAAGATGAAGGTGAACGCCAAGGACACCGTCACCGTCTCCGTCGACGTGACCAACAAGTCCACCCACGACGGCGCGGATTACTGTCCAGGTGCCCGTTGAAGGTGCAGGATCTGGGGTTATGGGATATTAAGATGAAGTATGTTGTTGAGCCGGGAGACTTCCAGGTGTTGGTGGGAAGCTCAAGTAAGGATTTTAGGGGGGATGCTACGTTTACTCTGCAATGAGCTGGGAGGTGTATGCGAGAGGCTGGAGGGTATTAATGTTAATAGCCACAGCGGGAAGTTAGGAATAGTAATCGAAGCTCAACGAAGTGTTGTATTAATCGTCCCCATCATCTCCTTCAAGTTTCATTAGAGCAGACCTCCTCAAAGATAGTACTGCGATATGTACAGTGCAATAAGAGTTACGGTAGGTGACAGAGAACAGCGCAGTAAAGAACTGTTAACTATTTCACATGCGAGCTGGTCACCCAAGCGAGCTGGTCACTGAATTTCTCACCCAAAATCAGGAAATTGCAAGATAATAACTCAACAACAACTTGATAATATATTCTAAAACTGTGTGTACAGCTTGGTCTATACATGTAGATTTCTTTATTCTAGCTTTAGAGCAATTAGACCAGTAGATGTTAAGACCTAGTCTAAATCTTAGTGCTTATACTTAATATCTTAAGAACTACTATAACATAGATTATTCCTATATAACTGGATAAGAATTTAACTAAGTAGAAAAGGCTAAAAAGGTATTTTTAATATGTATTATCAAGCTGTTGTTGAGTTATTGTCTTGCAAATTTCCTGATTTTGGGTGAGAAATTCAGTGACCAGCTCGCTTGGGTGACCAGCTCGCAAGTGAAATACGTTAGTTATACATCCCCAAAGTATTTTTGGCGAATTTCCTCCATAGCTAATTCTTTAGGCATCGGTTCTAGAAACCTATCGACCTCTTCTTTCCAAAATAAGTTTTGCGGATTGACATGCGATGCTGTAGTATACTCCCAGTAGACCGGATACAAGCCGGCGGTCTCCCAATCAATGATTCCAACCACCTCATCTCCGCGTGCGAGAATGTTCAAGCTGCTCAGGTCACCGTGTGTAAAGACAGGTGCAGGAAAGGGCCTATCCTGCCATGCTATGAGCGAGCTAACATCGTCAGGGTTGTCCACATGGGTTTCCAGTCCTCCTCGCAGGTGTTTGTGAAAATCCCGAATATTTTTGAAAGGTCCAAACCGCATCGGACCGTAGATTCTACTATCGTATAGTATTCCACCATCAACATTACTAACCGCCAAGTTTGGAGGAGCTATCTTGCGCATGTCTGCGACCATATCTTTAAGTTGAGATAGTATCTTTGCCTTAGACTCATCTGCTCGAGATGTCCATCCACGCCCTATCATATCTCCATGGATCCTCTCCATAACGATATATGCCCGGCCTTTGTGCGTGAAAGAGCAGATAATTCTCGGCACCGGAATAGATGTATGCTGACGAATGAACTGCATGGTAGACGCTTCCGAAAGGCTCGTTAGAGGACCGTATTTAACACAAATATTATTAGTGAGGAAAATAATACCGCCATTGCGCGGACGGAAATGCTTGAGAAGCTTGATTAAGGCGAGAACGAGGAAGCGGTGGAGGTACGTGTCGTTGATTGGCTTTGACTCCGATGGTACTACGTATTGTAGGGGGCGATCGCATCTGATTGCTCTGTCCATCTTCTATGGTCGGGTCGCACTTGACATATCGCAGATAGTTCCCTTGCCTAGGGTATTCAACCCGGCTCCCTATCTTTAATAGCTCAAAAGGATTGCGAGTCCGGAAGTTGACTAATATCTGGCTGAAACGGATTGGTGAGTGGACACGTGAAAACGGATAGCTCTTTGGAACTCGATATTACTCGCGATAGCTTTATTTCCCTATTCCTCTGCAAAGCTAAGCAATGATAGTACCGTAACTATTCTTAATATAATGCTGTTCCTAGACCAAATTTTGCGTATGAAGTAAATTAAACGGCCATTTATGGCAATGCGACTGAATCCTTCTGCACGTGATACTGGTCGTGACGCCTTGTACGGTACCCTGCCACATACCCATCACTATCCACCACTTCCGCATCCACTGTCCTAGCCACCAACCCCCTACCCCCTACCCCCTACCCCCTAACTCCCACCCTCCCATCCCCCATCCGCACATGATCCCGCACACGCGGCCCCTAATATCGGCTTCTCCTCCCATCCCTAGGCTCCAACTCTAGCACCGGCGCTCGGCGTTTCTCGGGCGGCAAGGGGCGGTGGGTCGGGGCCGAGGTGAGGCGGGTGTGGGGGGTTGCACGTGGGGGGTTGCACGTGGGGGGTTGCACGTGTTGCACGTGTTTGGAATGGGGCGTGTGGGGGTGGGGGAGGAGAGTGGCATGTGGGTAACCTTGGTGGATGATTGGGAGTGTGATGGCAGAAGAAAGGTGTTGCTCTTTCTAGATTACTGTAGAGGTGCGAGTCAAAGATGATTAGTTACGGCGGTGAGCCTGCTTTGAAACCCCCACCCCCAAGTCGAGAGACTGCGATTCTTCTAACGTTTCATTCCGAAAACACTAGGAACGGATATAGTCTCGTCGATATTCCATCTCCATTGATTAAAACCGCACAGCAGTCCTCCCTATCCATCTAAAACAATAATATACACAAACCCCCTTCCCCATCCCAGATAAAATATGTATTCCCCCCACCTGCAAATCCAAGGCATGATAGCCCTCCCTTTCCTCAAACAAAAGAAAAAAAAAAATCTCTCCCAAAAGATTGATTGAGTGAATGAATGGATGAAGGCCCAGTAAAAAAACGCCTGCACACGAAAAAGCAATGCCCACTTTTTTGCCCCCACGCCGTTTTGCCATCCGTCCCGCTGATTGAGTCCTAGATGATATGAAATGCCGATGATTGATAATGATATTAGACGCTATTCGCTTTCCGAAAACGATGATGTTGCTGCATCTCCTCTCCTCCCTGCGGTATGTCGTCTACCAGCTAACGGGACTAGGCGGCGGCGCAGGCGGCGCATGCCACTCCCCCTCTCTTGTCTTGTAATCTGCCGTCGGCGTGTGTGTATCCAGGCGCTGGGCGACGTCTGTGAGTAGGCTCAGGCCGCGGCGGGGGGTGGGGTGTGCGAGAGAGGTGGGTTGAGGTTGTTGGGGGAAGGGAGAGGAGCGGGCGGTGTGTGTTTGTGGCATTGTGATGGTTGGTGGTGTGTGGTGGTGGAGAGACTGGAGAGAGTGTGTTAGTTGGGAGAGTTAGGTGAGGGGATTAGGGGAGACGTACGGTTTGGCCGGGTCGGTGGAGATGGGATGGCTGCTGGTGTTTGGTGCTGCTGGTGAGGCAGAGTTGTGATAACTGTGTAGCTGGTGATGTGATGTGAAGCTTGTGATTCTTGTTTAACAACAGGTGGTATAAAGTCGTAGTATTCTTGACAAAGATCAAAACAAATAGAGGAAATCTCAGTATCTTTGTATGACAGCGATCGTCGGTATTTATTATTCTAGAGAAAAAGTAAAAAAAAAAAAAAGACAGAAACCCGCCAGACCTGGGCGCACCACCCATTTTATCACAACCCAACCCACCCCCACCCAGCACAGAGCACACACCCCCCTCACTTCCCTCCGCCTCTACAGTGCTGTATCACTGCTGCAAGTACGTGCCGCACAGGGCGCGGCACCAGCCCAACGCACCATGCACGCATCCATCCGTCGGCCGCATCGGACAACAAAGCGCGGCGGGCGGACGACGACGCTGGCCCGGAAGGCCAGAAGCAGGCACCCATGGCTGGGCTGGAGGTGACAAGGTAGGCCAGGCCACCCCTGCCGCTGGGCGCCGACATTACTATAGGTTTGTAAGGATGAGACTTGCGAGGTAGGGGGTACGGCGGTGTTACACTGGATCTGGAAACGGGGCGAGACATTACATACGATAGGACGGTATGGAAAGTGAGTACAACTACGACAGACGACCAAGCCCAACAGCTGGGTGGCTGGGCTGGCATGATCTCCATCTCCGAGCTTTCGGGGAGGGGGATGTTTGTTGCCGTGATGGTTGATGTTGGGGTGAGGTGAGTGGTTTTGGCTGGGAACGGAAGAGATCCGGCGGTATGTGTCGTGTTGTGTCATATGAGGACATGTGAAATATGTATGAACGTAACTTATATTAGGAGATGTCTGGACGTACTGGGTATCAGGAGATGTTTGGACGTACTGGGTAATAGGATATGTATGAACATACTGTGTAATAGGTATGAACATACTGGGTAATAGGATATGTATGCCCCGATATGTATTGTACTGTACAGCACGAACGACGCATGTACTGCACGGTGAGCACAAGCACTGCGGAGAGTAATACATCTTCCTAGACAAAACAACAACAAAACAACAACAACGACAGGACAACGAGACATTTCCATCTGCAATTCCAAAGTTAAAAGGGGGAGCAAACAGATGGGGCGCTGTGGAGTTGGCGAGATTTGAGGTCTTTTTGCTTCTATGGGGCTGCTGTTTCGGGACGGTGGGAACCATGTCCCCTGCTGTCAATCTGGGGCGGTTTGATGGGTGGAGGGAAGGGTAAAAGGATGGACTAGGGAGGAAGAGGAAGCCGAGGTTGAATGGGGTGTTGGTAATCTCCTTCTTGCCATTTGCCGTGGGTGAGTCGGTGGTTGCGATCTGTATACTTTGGTGCATGTATAGAGTGCCATACTATATGTCTAATATGTCGAGTAGATGATAAAGCTGCTGCACCCCGGACTCTGCCACGTCCATTTATCCCGATCTCGTTATAGGCACTATACAAGTTGCCGTTATTACCGCCTTATACTGGAATTGCGCGGCGGGCAATCACTCACCCATATCACCCATATCACCCATATCACCCATATCACCGATATCACCCATATCACCCCAATCCCAGAGACGACACACCGCCGCCGGCACTCCCGAATCAGAGACGTGGCACCTGCCTGTATCTGTCCGGTCCGGTCTGACAAGCGGCTACTGCTGCTGCTGGTTGGTACTCGCCTGTAGTGTGATATGATACGATCGGAATACGAAAGACATCGTCGGGTCTGCGCATCCCATCGTGCTGTAGACCCTATGCACTGCCAATCATGCCAATCATGCCATCATGCCAATCACTACTTACCATCACACACCGGATGCATACTGGATCTGACAGGTCGTCTGTTTCGCATCGTTATGCTTCACCGTCGCCCATTCACTAAGCCGTACTTCCTGTCCCCGGCCGTACAAATACTGAAGTGACGAGTTTACCGCAGTACGACCAGTACAAACATCCACCCCACCGCCCCACCACCCCACCGCTCCCAAAAAGCCCTTGGAATTTGTTTTCGGAAATTTCAAATTTCAAATTTCAAACATTCTAAAACTGCGGGGAAGCCGGGGAAGCCGGGGAAGCTGCCGCTTTCTGGAACACACGCATACACACACACTCTCTCTCTCTCACAGAGGATCCGAGATCAAAGCCAAAATAAACCCCCCACACCGCATAATGTATCACCCGGTCCTGCCCATTGCCGAGCAGACCGACCGTGCAAGATTCCAATATATGCCATGCCTGTAAGCGGGATCATAACGTCGCGACCCGAGCCTCCCGGTCCTCTACAGTATCTTCACTTCAATCTCCTTCAAAATGCCCGACCGTCCCGCGTGAAGAAAGAACACATGGAAAAAAACCCGCCGTCCAGTCCAGCATTCACCCGTGCCTCATCGCATCTCCAAAACACATCTCCCACCTCACCGACTCACAACTCCAAAACCACACACGTGTCCCCCCCCTTATACCTCCACGCCCCCCCATACCTCCACGCCCCCCACATCCCGCGGGCCGCTCCTTCTCACATCCCCCCCCACTGACTCGTAACACACACCGCAAAGTCGATACAGCAAAGCATTATTGAAGTGGTAATCTCAACAATTCCATAACGACCCCAGAATCCACATTCCCCCGAGACAGGAGGTTATATTCGAAAGATCTGAGATCTGACATCTGACATCTGACATCTGACATCTGACGTCTGATATCTGACATCTGAGTGAGTGAGTGTCTAGATCGGACTGATGCGGTGTACTACATATGTGTACGATCACGTCCGCCCCGACCGCTCTCTTTAGGCCCGATCATTGGGCCCTGAGACCCGAGAACTCGGTTGTGGGAACGGGTGGGCGAGACTGGACAGCACCGCGGTGGGGAGGGAGAGGTTTTTGGGATTTGCCTGCCTATGGAGACCAGCACCGGCTATTTTTCTCTGACGGGCGGTAAGCAAGTGGGAGCGTAAGGCACGTACCGCGTTGCGACGAGCGGGCAGTTGCATGCATCTCCCACAAAGGCGAGCAGTTTGAAACACCCCCTCATCCTCCACCACTCGGCGAAATAAAAAAAACCCCTCAAAAGTCGCCCCCGCCCCTCGGCGGAATATAAATTCCACCCCTCCGGCTCTCTCACCGTCGGCGAAATATAACAACCACCAAATTATTCCAGCGATCCGGATACAACCTCTCACAACCCCAACCCCTTACCTCACCACAAGCTCTTTCCTAGCCGCCATCCCCGCCCCCCGGGCCGCCATCCTCGCACAGCAGCTAAATTGCCGAGACAACAAACTGCTGTACCCGAGCACGGCAGCGGGGGTAGAAGCGCCGTCCGCTGTGCTTGTGTCCTTGTGCTGCTGTGCGGTGTTGTGGTGACACGCCGATGCTGCCGCCTGCCAGGCGCGCGGGCCGATCTCGGGTGGCTGTAGGTTGAGCGGGCGGATTGGGGGGGGGGGTCCGCGCGCGCTAGGGTGGAAAAGGGCGGGATAGGGGGTGCGGGGATCTGGGCGTGGATGGGGGGTTGGAGGGAGGTGGTTCGTTTTGCGACAAAAAGGTAGTAGGGGATGTGGATTCATGTGCCTAGGTATGTAAGAGTAGAGGGCTGGCACAGGGCGAGATTTATATCAACCTTCCCCGTAACCCAAACTATGCCCTCTCCCCGCAAATGGCAAAAATAAATAGGCAAAAACCATACAACAGTGGGTATTTGCTGGCGGTCACCCACCCAACTACTAATCCACCGATCTCAAGCAATCCTCTGGACATAGCTAAATCGGTACCATTCGGCCTAGTGGATGAGCCTCGCCGCCCTTACCCTTATTTTGAGATGGCGACCACCTCGACCACCTCGACCACTCGAAAGTGGGTGAGTTTTTAACGACGCGTTGCACCGCGACATTGGATTCAGGCAGGTGAGCTGGGTGAGCCGGGCAGGCGGTCGAGGTGGTCGCCATCTCAAAATATGGGTGCGGAAGCCAGGAGAATGGTATAAAGGGCCAGCCTCCCGCTTTCAAATTTTCAAAGGCTCCATTGAAGCGCCTCGCGTTCGATCCTGCGCCCTTTCACGAACTCGCGCACCAAAAAGGGCTTCCTCGACCTAAGCAACGCACCTGTTGACACACGGTATGTGGGCAAGCAAGATGACCAGTCCCTCTCTGGTAACAAGTAGTGATTGAGCATCTTCATTAAATCATGGAGTGTTAAATGTTGAATGAGAATGGGATCGCCATAGTGTCCACATAACCGAAAATTAGACATTTAATTCATATAAGAAGAGCCGTCTTCCCCTTGAACAAGGCCCACAATATGTGGAGCGCGTAAAGCGTCCTCTATCTTTTAACTGATCAATACGTAGATATGCGTTGAGTCCATGAAGAGCATCTCGCTGACATCCCGGCTGAAATGCTTTAAAGTAACAGATTGTCTCCTTATCTGCAAGCACCTTTCTAGGAAATTGGGTGAGCGCGTCCTTTGGATCCTTGTTACATATGTGGAGCAAGTTGAGTCTCGGTCTACCATAGCTTCGACGTAAGTAGAGGTAGAAAGTGCCCGGGTTTTTTGTGAAAAGGGTTGCCCAATAAGTGATACAGGCAGGAAGAGCCACCCGTACGGAAAGCTTCGCCATGCATCTGGATGTTTCCAGGGCCATGACAAGCTGTTATCGATTGCACCGATGCTCATACTTGGCTCTGATTCCTTGCTAGGGCTTCCCTTTCCAGACCTTCCCAGATACATAGGCTCCTGTTGCCGGTATGGGTGAGCTTGAGCAGTTGGCGTGCCTTCTCCAGAAGGCATGCTTGATACAATAGAAACTGTTGAATCCTCGGCCCGGAAGCAGGGATCAGGGCCCTGATACCGAAGCTGTGTCAGCCAGCTTCGTGATCCTCCGGATACTGGATCTTCCGGTTCTAAAGCTTCGATTCTGAAGCTCTAGGGAACGGACCGAAACCAGGAGGATTGCAGAATCCGAGCCGCGAGTAGGCACAGGAATAGAGCCCGTAACAGTATATTATAGTAGTTAGAATAGCTTCAATTATAAGAATATGCATTACTAAATTATCACTTCAGGCCCCTCTGCTTCGTGACCATATTTCTCGGTTTATATTCTCTACCTACTGCTACGGTTCCTACGGATTTTGTTCAACAGAAACGGACTCATTCCCCAGTCCACCTAGATCAGATATGTCTGATGGACGAAAAGTCGGCCCATGGCCGACTTTTAAGAGAGATTGGACGAAGCCAGGCTCACCCCTTGACGACGCGGGCTCGCCTTATTTTCGACATTTGGGCTCGCAACTAGTATCCCACCAGCAGCGTGGAGCTCATACTTCAAAGTGATTGGATTGAAGTAGTCATGAAGGGTAAATGTCCGTTCGTTCGTCGGATCTCTACATGGGCCGCAGTGGCCCATGATTGGCGCCTAGAGAAGATGGGGACGATGGGGACACCTGGAAGCTCCGACTCGCGTGAAGATTGACACCGTCCTGTTTCACGTGATAAAACAAAGGTGCTGATTAAGTAAGTGGTATTAAAAATGAGCATGAGTCTAAAAGATGGCAGAGATAGTGATAAGAAGAAATGCGCAAACCGTTCGGGAACTGAATTTACCTATGCTCGCATATTATGATTGAGATGGCCCGAACGTCCGAGGAAGCGTGGAAGCTAACGTTGCTATTATGAGAAGCTTCAAGGAAAGTAGCTGCAATCGTTTATCCGTTCGTCTGCCTCCAAACCGCGTAATGTTCTCTGTACGAGTACCTCCGCGGCGAAGGATAAAACGACAACCTCGCACATTACTGTCAACATGGCAAGCACCCAAGAATGGTTCTGCCGCAAAGTCCATCCAACCGGCCGATTACTGTGCACCCGAAAAAGGGTCGAATCTCATCGCTTCTTATTCAAACGGCAGAGGACGACCTGGATCACCCACCCAAAAAGCAGAAACTCAACTATCCAGCATTCCCACCTGCGGGATTTTGGGACTCCCTATCGAGGATCCCTCTCACACGAAACGCACTACGAGAATTGAACGGGAGGAACGCAAAAGACTGTTGCAGCTCAGCACATACTCGAAAACTTCGAAGGCGTGGATCGAATTCCCACCACCAGCTGGCCGTCCCACAGCGTTTCGCAAGACACGGCGGCCCGGATCTGAGAGATCTGCGAGGAGTATGCGGGCATCCTTGTGCGATTGCACACTCATACTGACACAGAGTAGTACCGGATACCAACAGGCCCGGAAGACGACATGAGTTCTAGACCGTTGAGTCTTGGCGTCGGAAGAGAGGTTCGCAGTCGCCAACAAAGTGGGGCTCGGATTCACCATCCAAGAGCAGCGCTACCCCGAATACGACAAGCACGACGAGCACAGGACCATATGATCGTGCATTTCAGCAGCATCTGATCGATCATGACATACTCCCCGATGGCTATGAGTATCCAATCGGCTTGGAGTCCAGCTTCTCGGAGACGCTGTAGGACCTTATGCACATGCTCTATGTGTTCCGTAGGGTCCTCTGAATAGATTAGGATGTCGTCTAAGTATGCAGTACAGAAGTCGTCTAAGTATTGCATCAGGACGTCATTCATATATCGCTGATAGGTTGCGGGACCGTTCGTCAGTCCAAATGGCAGTACTTTGCACTTATAGGATCCATAGCGAGTCCGAAAGGTCGTGTACTCTTCCGAATCGGGGTGCATCCGTATGCGATGGAAGGCTTGTCTGATATCTAGCTTTGTGAAGATTTTTGCTTTCGACACCCGTCCTAGTAGTTCGTCGATATGCGGGATGGGGTAGGGATCGTTCCGGGTGAGGCCATTTAACTTCCGGTAATCGATGCAAAATCTTAATTTGCCATCCGCTTTCTTTATGAATAGGATAGGGGACGCGAAGGGGCTGTTGCTGTTGACGATGAAGCCTTTCTCTAGGTTCTCTAACAGGTATTGCTTGGTCACCTTAAGCTCTTCGGTGCCCTGTCGATATAACGGGGAGAAAGCGTTTGGTAAAGGGGCTTCGAGCTGTATCTTGTGGTCATATATGCGGTGGGGGGGGATTCAATCTGATTCCAACTTCGAAAAGACATCGGTGTACCTCCGGTGCATATGCGGAAGCTTCTGCTGGATGAGGCGGAGCGTTTCTTCGTCCTCTACCAACTCCTTTTCATGAATGATCTGATCGATTTCGTAGATGCTAGTCTGAAAAAACTCGGTGTCGTTTCGCATCATCTCGTGGTGGAGGTTTCCATTTGGGTGGGGGAGAAACTTCCTGGTTTCGTAGTGGGTTCGATGGCGTATCGGTGATCTCTTCGTAGTCAGAAGTTATCACTTTCATTTCCATCGACCGTCCGCCTGCGCGGCGTCTGTCTTCGCGGTGGATTGCGAAATCCCAGCGATTCGCATCCGACTGATATGCAGGATGTTTAATGGACGTTTCGCGTGAGTGGTAGGGCAAGGTGATCTCCTTGCTCCAGCTAGGAGTCAGCAGGTACTCCTTTGGCCATGCTAACCAGCTCTTTGCAGAGTCGAGTAGTATTCGGAAGCGGCTGAAAAGCTTCTTCCCAATTATTACATCTTGTGCTCCGAGGTCCAGGAGTACAAAGGGGCAGTTATATATCCAGCGTCCTTCGACTGTTAAGTGTAACCGAATATACTCCGATACGTGGCCTTAGATTTTGCGCTGAAATCCACGTATGGGTACAGAGTAGGGTAGTTTCTGTATGGGGCTCTGAAGCGCTTACGACAGTCGTATTGCGATAGGCTTGTTAATGACGAGGTAGCCGTTTGCTCCTGTGTCTGCTAGGGACTTCGTTTGCACCCCGAGTCCATTCATACTCAGGGTCGTGTCAACTAAGAACTGGGTACCTCCCAGGAGTTCTCGTAAGTCTAGTCCTCGCAGGTCACATTTGCGTAGACCTAGGAAGGAGCCTTCTCCTAGGCCTCGTCGTTTTCCTCGAGGGACGCATCCGATTGAAGTTCCATGGCTTCTTCCCATTGTTCTTCTGCCTCGGGGTCGTTACGGTCCATTTCCTTGATAGTAGCATTAAGGGGGCATTTGTCCTGGAAATGGCCGGGCTTGCCACACTTGAAACAGTTTCCTGAGGGCGCAGGGACTGCGGTTCTCAGACGTTCTGGTATGGCTGGCTTGGGGAGGAACGCGGTTCGGGTGAACAGAGCGGATGTGGCTCGAGTCGGCTTCGACGCTGACGACGCCTTTGCCGTATCCGTGGTACGTGTGGACGTCCTTGTGAGAGCGGGTAGCGGATTCAATTCGTTGTTCCGGCGCCGTTCCTGGTCAAAGGTGAGACCTGCAATACTCGAGGTTCTACAGTTTCTCAGAGTTCACCAGACGATGCGGACTCAACTCTAGGCGCGGACTACCAAAAATATCCTCTTCAGGGCTTTCTCACGTGTGTGAGGATTGGACGGGAGACGACTTACAACCTAGAGTTCAAGCTGCAAGATCTTCCAGATTCGTTCAGGCCATCAATTGGTCTCCACATATCAAATCGCACATCTAGCGGGGAATCAGTTGGAGGATCAATGAATTCACGGGTTTGCACATCCCATGCAAAGAGGTCGCGGCCAGCTCTGCAGAAGCAGATAAAGCGACCGCCTTTGCGAGAACGAATTGCAAACAGACCTGGTATGCAATCGACATATTCAGAAGACGACGATGGCCTGTTGATACAGCTGAAAGAGAAAGACAAATTATCATCGGACGAAATTGCAAAGTTCTTCCCAGGAAGGACCAAAGTGACGTTGCAAGTGCGCTACTCCACAAAGCTGCAGAACCACTCGCAGATGTCGAAGTACAAGAAAGGCAAGGGAATATGCTCATCAGGGTTTTTAATGGACTTGCTTGATCCACAGCTTCGAGATGCCCTTCCTTCCACATCATCTCTAGCAGCAACTGCCGACTTCACCACGGGTCCTCACAGAGACATACTATCAACTAGGAACAAAGAGCATACAACACTGCAACTGCATTGTGGCAGCCAAGGAGTGGAAAGCGATACAGATGAGATCTGCGACGTTGAAGCGCTTCTTGCCAAGTTGACAGTACGTAATGTGGTTTGGTACCTCGTGAAGTGGGAAGGCTTTGGTGATGATAAAAATATGTGGCAGGAACAGGACGACATTAGTTCGGATCTCGTTGACAATTTTGAGGCGAGCTATCAAGGGAACTTCGGTGTGGAATTACTCAAGAAGCGAGAACTAAGAGGGAAAATTGAATATTTTGTAAAATGGAAGGGCCGTCCAATGAGTGAGAATTGTCATACTGACATTCGTTGCACTCAGTTTGCTATCAAACTCAAGAGCAAACTTAGAAATCTCCTCCTCAAACCTACAAGTCACTATACATATTTTGGCTTGTCACACCAACAACAAGAGCAATACTATTCAACGATTGCTACAACCCTCTATGATTCATTACATGTCATTGCTCCTTAGTTACTGGGCCGATATTACCACATAGCATATCTCTACAACCCTCTATGATTCATTACATGACATCACTCATACTACCACATGACATATCTCTACCAACTAGAGGCCTAGGAGCATGAACGATAGCTCTAAAAGCTCCTACGAACCTCAATGATTCATTACACGTCATCGCTCCTTAGTTACCCACAAGATTGGTTAAGTTATGACATATTTTGTCTATAGGGGTACTCTGACCTTGGACCTCCTTTCACTTCCTATAGCCTAGGAACCTAGGAGATGGTTCTATGGGATTCTCTTACGTCGACTACAGTTACCAAGCCTGGTTAGTCATGGAAAGTCTTGGAAAATGAGAGAACTACACTCCTTTAGCATAAATAGGATTGCCCTTTCCTTAAGAAAGGGCAAGCAGACAATACAGTAAATCGACTATCACATACTTCCACGTCTTTTCCAAGCTTCCAAGCATTGATCTTGTTACTCCTTGTTTCTGAAAAGTCAGTGAGGTGCTAACCTCTGACTTATCCCTGAGTTCTCAGACTCAACATTTGTTACAACTTGTCTAAACCACTCCACTACATCATACACCTGATTGCTGCGTTGTGGAATAGTCTAAACTACAACTCTTTGGCTCTGTTTCCTAAGACAGTGTGTTGTCTTAGTAAAATCATCCCTTCCTTGGGTGGCTAGATTCTCACATCTGGTGCACCCACCATTACACTTCTCCCAGGAATTCTTGTAATGGTGGGTGCACCAGATGTGAGAATCTAGCCACCCAAGGAAGGGATGATTTTACTAAGACAACACACTGTCTTAGGAAACAGAGCCAAAGAGTTGTAGTTTAGACTATTCCACAACGCAGCAATCAGGTGTATGATGTAGTGGAGTGGTTTAGACAAGTTGTAACAAATGTTGAGTCTGAGAACTCAGGGATAAGTCAGAGGTTAGCACCTCACTGACTTTTCAGAAACAAGGAGTAACAAGATCAATGCTTGGAAGCTTGGAAAAGACGTGGAAGTATGTGATAGTCGATTTACTGTATTGTCTGCTTGCCCTTTCTTAAGGAAAGGGCAATCCTATTTATGCTAAAGGAGTGTAGTTCTCTCATTTTCCAAGACTTTACATGACTTACCAGGCTTGGTAACTGTAGTCGACGTAAGAGAATCCCATAGAACCATCTCCTAGGTTCCTAGGCTATAGGAAGTGAAAGGAGGTCCAAGGTCAGAGTACCCCTATAGACAAAATATGTCATAACTTAACCAATCTTGTGGGTAACTAAGGAGCGATGACGTGTAATGAATCATAGAGGTTCGTAGGAGCTTTTAGAGCTATCGTTCATGCTCCTAGGCCTCTAGTTGGTAGAGATATGTCATGTGGTAGTATGAGTGATGTCATGTAATGAATCATAGAGGGTTGTAGAGATATGCTATGTGGTAATATTGGCCCAGTAACTAAGGAGCGATGACGTGTAATGAATCATAGATGGTTGTAGCAATCGTTGAGTAGTATTGCTCTTGTTGTTGGTGTGATAAGCCAAAATATGTATAGTGACTTGTAGGTTTGAGGAGGAGATTTCCAAGTTTGCTCTTGAGTTTGATAGCAAACTGAGTGCAACGAATGTCAGTATGACAAGAAGGAAGATACAATACACTCTGAATGAATTAAAGAGTTTGAGGCAAGGTGATGGAGGAAGTCATTGCATTGTATCTTAGGGCTAGCGGGTATTTGCATACACAAGAGATGGGTTCCGTTTGGCGATAGATATGTTCCGGCCCAACCGTGAGTTATACTCGCTCATGAGCTGGCCGGCCCAACCGTGAATTTTTTGACTTCTGGTTGGGCCAGCCAGCTTGTAAGCTGGCCCAACGATAAATAGGAGTAATTGACCAACTGAACTATGTAATATTCCCTACTGTGTCTTCGCATGCCTGCTGTTACGATTATAGCTTACGGTTATTACGGTTATTACAGTTGTTACGGTTGTTATGGTTGTTATGGTTGTTACGGGTGCAGCCTTAGCCACCAAGGCTACAACCGCTAAGCGGACAACTGTATATTACGAGGAATAGCCTCACCTTCCTTCCTTCCTCTTCTTCTTCTCTCTTTAGATTCAATCTAGCTTATTATTCTCCGGACTGGCTTCTTGACCTCCGTGACCATCGTAACACCCGCTTCCTACGAGGCCTCTCAACTAAAGCTATTTCTGTACGGGTAGCTAGACCTGATAAGTTGCCACAGTTATGGTCATCATTATGGCAGTGTATACTACACTCCTTAGCCTCCTTATAACACCGGCACCTCTTTGTACTACATTGCCCTTTGCATTGACATGATATCCCAACCTGTGCACCTGTAGAAGCTTCTCTTGCTGCAAGCCCTAATGTTACTTGCTTTATAGAAGTAGTAATTATGATATCTGACCATAGAGCTTGCTCTACAACCCCAAGTGATTTTGTATGTATAAGGCACCGGCGGTCACCCACCCAACTACTGATCTACCAATCTTAAGGTTATGTATAGAGAGTGGATGGGATGCCCAGGTCTCTTGAGTCTATGGTCGTATGTGATAATTACTTGTGTAACGTCTGTCCCTATGCATCAAAGAATCACAGACTCTTCTAGATCAGTAAGTTTCCTTAAGTTGGCAGACATATCACATCGTGACTTCTTTGTAACGCTGGCTACTACCCAGGGTAATAGTCACAGAGGTTTCGTTGCATAAAGTTTACTTATCAGAGGAGGCAGGGGATCAGACACAAAGGCTTTCGTAAAACACGTTACAGTATATAAAGAATACTATATTGAGTTGGCACGAAGCTCCTATACTAAGAAATACTATCTGCTTATATAGTGGCGTCGTGCCAAATGGATCCTGTCTGCTACCCAGACGATCCCTAGATGATACCTAGATGCTCCTTATACGATCCTGGATCCCCCCAGGATCGAAGTCACGTGGCTCTGGTTCTCATATGCTGGATTACAGTATGTAGAACAGGGTAAAAACGATGCAATTGTTTTTTTTTGCTATTCTAATGGAACTACGCATACTTTTTATAGGCTCTACATAACTCCCAGTAACCCCCCGAGGCTTCCGAGTAAGCCGCCCCTTCCGCTGCAGAGTTTCACCAGAATTGTGAGAACCATGGTTGAGTCCCCTAGTTCGGTGAGAGCCATGGGACAGCTCGGGCCCATGGTGGAGATTCTCTGGTTTCTAGAACCACAAACACAGATTTTTCTCCGGCCTCCGGCCCGATTTCCAACACAGCTTCTCATCCAATCCCTTGTCTGACGCTAATGGTGGGCTAAGCCGTAACATTCTTGCCGTCGCGTCAGTGACGGAGGGTAGTCTCAGGGATATTGTATATATTCGCTGCACTTCGTACAGAAAGCTTAGTATCTTTTTTTAAAGCTTCGATCGCAAGGATCAATCGGGACTCTCGTAAAGAATATTCAAATGATGTTAAAGGTAAAGGGTAGAAAATGTGGGGAAAGTGCGCCACTCGTTGACATGCGCCACTCGTTATACAAATACGTTATGCTATTCCGTTTACAATGTCCTTCCAAACGCTTCCCACAGAAATTATAGCTCTGATCCCAAGGTTGGAAATCGATCGACGATCAAATCAATCAAATCGATCTTCTAGTCGAATCGATCAAATCGATTGGTCGATCGATTTCCAACCCTGTCTGTTCCTAGAGTGCCTCCCAGATTTTACGTCACTATTATCGATGATCGAAACCTGCTGGCTTTCTTACCGCGCATATAAGATACGTAGCGATGTGATAGTCTGCGCTATATTTGAGCGTAGCTGTATACCTGTTATTAGGGCATATGCTGCTCTACCACCGGTAACTCGCAAATGCCGACGAGAGTATATTAGAAAGAAATTTCGGTCAGCCTACGAATCACCACTTGGATTAGGATTGATTATTCGACGAAACATATCGAAATCTACCGCTATAGTAATCCTTCGAAAAGCTTACGACGTGGGCATGGACTCGAAGAGGCCCCTGCGCATACTCTGCCTCGATGGAGGCGGGGTGCGCGGCATCTCGTCTCTTTACATCTTGAAGGAACTTATGGGGCAGGCTAGGCGAGAGAGAGAGACTGGCCCAGAGGAAATCAAAAGTCTTCGCCCATGCGACTTTTTTGACTTGATCTGTGGCACTAGCACTGGGGGGATGATCGCTCTGATGTTGGGCAGAATGAAGATGGTACGAACCCCTTCCCATAGTCTCTATCATCAGTACTCCAGCTGACCGCTTACCAGAATGTCGGCGATGCAATCACATTCTATGAGCAGATGTCCAAAGAGATCTTCACCTCCAAATCGGAGAATCCAGAAGCGGCTTTCGACCATAGGATTCTTGTAAAATCTATCAAAGACGTCATCACCTGCCCATCTGTCCGCCTGGATGCAGAGTCAATTCTCAAAGATGAAGACGAGCATAACACAAAGACCTTTGTTGTCTCCACGTCTCTCCAGGGTACTGGCGCCACCGCAGTCCGTATGCGCACATACGGCACCAAGACTTCTGACCCTTTCGAAGCTAAAATTTGGGAGGCTGCCCGCGCTACATCCGCAGCCCCAACTATCTTTGAGCCTATCACTATCGACCGCATTAAATATGGAGACGGTGGGACTGGCTGGAACAATCCTGCGGAAGAGGCAGTCAACGAAGCAAATCGAATCTGGCCTAATAGACCAATCGGATGTCTGGTCAGTATAGGCACGGGTCTAGAAGATCCAGCGCAACTAAGAGACAAAGAGGACAAAGGGAAGGACGATTTCGCCCGGAAATTCATCAAAATAACGGCCCCAAAGTCGTCTTTCAAATTGGCCGTTGCAGAGTATTGTGTTAAGATCCTAACGAGCTGTGAAAAGATCCATCAACGCCTGGATGGGAATCCGGCGATGTATGGCATTGACGGCCGCTACTTCCGACTCAACGTCCCACAAGGAATGTCGAAAATCGGCCTGGAGGAGTGGGATAAATTGGATGAAATAAAAGCCCTCACCCACTCGTATATGGACACTGGAGACTGCTTACGCATGAAACAGAAAATAGCAAAGACTCTACTTGATCCTCAGTGCGCCGTTAAGGCACATGAGCGTGACAAAAATGGGTATACCGCACTGGATCGTGCAGCCTTGAAAGGTGACGTCGAGGAAATTCAGATCCAATGGGACCAGGGAGCCGACCTTGATGCAATCGAGCCTAGAAAAGGATATACTCCGCTCATCGAGACTATTGATCGAAACCAGTTCGACGCATTCAAGGCCCTGATTGCATTTGGTGCAAACGTGAACAAGCCCAACCGCGATCAACACTCTCCGTTATATTTCTGCTTGAACTGGAGGAAGGACTTCATGTTTGGATTCACACTTATCAATGAACCTGGCATCGACGTGAACGGGACAGACAAGGATGACCGCACGCCTCTGATGTTAGCGGCCATGACTGACTCACTACCATTCGCTGACCTCATACTCAACCAAGGAGCCAACGTCAATGCGAAAGACAAGAATGGTATGACGGCAATGCATTTTGCGGCTATGGTCCAATCTAAAAAAGTTATGATTAGACTGCTCAAAGGCGGAGCGGATATAAACGCCCAAAACAATTCGGGCCAAACGCCACTGCGTATCGCGGTTAACAGTCCTGCCACCCAGAGTTTGGACTGGTTACTGAAAAACGGCGCGAATGTTGATATCGCGGACAAGAACAACCAGACACCATTGCAGGCTGCGAAGGCCATGAACAAGGGAGTTTGTGTCCGGCAGCTGGAAGAATACGCAAATCTTGCTCCCATGGGCGGAAGCGCAGAGAATGTGCAGGCAGCTCTAGCTGGACTTCGAATTGAGGATGCACCAGATGGTACAGATGAGGAATACTGTTAGGAATGCTGCAAGGCACCAAAGAATGATAGGAACAGCTTAATTGGTTTGGAAACAATGCGAACCACTAGCCTCTCATAGGCTATGGTACGCCATGTATTTATCTTCAGGTTCCTCCTCCCCGTTGACGTGATGGAACCCGCTGTGGACTACATATGTGTTGAGGGGAACCGGACGCTTCCCGAGGATTTTGGTGGTGTCTCACCAATTTCCGAGCGGGATCGTCCGACTTCCCGGGTTGGCTGGTGGTGTGGGCTATACGAAGCCACCAGTTCTCAGGCCAGCTGAGCTCTTGAGAGCTTCCAGCTGATCAGGGCTTTGGGGGCGCCCCTGAAGCTCTACAAATACTGTACGTAGGCCCGTAGAAATAGTGTAATAATTCAATCAATTAATCTGACGGGACAGGAGCCTCACAGTAGAATACAGTATTTTAGGGGTAGAAATCTGGTCTCTTGGATCAGACTCCTCGTGCGCGATAGACGGTGACGAGAGAGAAGTCAGAGCCTGGCCGATAGATGTATGTGAATTAGAAGATGTCGCGGTGGGAGTGGCAAGCGCCGTCGAGTGCGTTACTTCTCGGACTGCTGTCACGATTGCGTCACGAGCGACTGGGTGGTTTTCAAAGTATCGGGTAGTGTTCTCGTTCCGTAGCCAGCGGACCCAGACTTAACCGCCTGAGAGGCTATCAGCAATGCTACGTTTGAAGGAAATGGGAGAAGTGTATGATGGATGCTAGACCTTGTCAACCTCTGAGGTGTTCAAAATATTCAGCTCTGAATCTTCGTCTGGATCTGGACGAGCCATCAAGTTAAGCTCGGCACCCTAGTTTTCGTCACCCCCCCGTTCTCGTCACCCTTCCGGAATCAACACCTTTCATTATGATAGCTAAATAAATACAACGAATATCACTCTAATTGCCACTCAAATGTCATAGATTCTAGAGTCATATTTGATCTAATCTCTGTAGCTTTTTGGGCTGCAAATTCTGTAACCTTTCCTTTTCTTTGTGCCTCCAAAGCAGCTGCTTCGTCCAATGCCTTCTTAATACTTTCTATATTTGCAAAGCGTGAATTTGGATCAACAGTTATTCTCTTCCGTGGCTTCTTTGCCTGCAGACTCTCTATCTCAGCCTTCTGCCATTGAATTGTTGCCTCATGCCCTGCTTGGATTGCATTCAACCTCCCAATTGCCTCGCCTGCTTTCTGGATCACAAGCCTTTGCATCCGTGGTATTTTTGCAGCCTTGGTAATGCTCCGGACTGCTTCGAAAAGATGCTGTGGCTTCTGTGGGGTCCGAGTAACGTCGTAATCCAGAGAACGGGCACGTTTCCGACGTGGAGGACTCTTTAGCTGGTTCTTGACTTGTGAGGAGTTGATAGCCTTAGCTGGATTCCAAGGATAGATACCAGCAGCACGCCAGCCGCCCCGGATAACACGCTCTGTAAGGCCCTCCTCTCGTGCATAGTGGTAGGCTGCAATAAAGCGAGCTTTCTTAACTGGGGCAGAGTCATCGAGTGCTGAGAGCTCCGTAATCATCTGGCAGTATTTGCCCTTGACAGGCGAGAAGCATGAGAGATCAAGCGGTTGCAAAACATGTGAAGAGTGTGCAGGTAGAAAGATAAGCTCAACTTGATGCTGTTTACAGACCCAAAGGAATTCTACACTGACATGGCTGCCGTGGCCATCAAGGACAAGTATCCGGTATCCACCATCAATCGGCTTCGTTTCTGGTAGAAAAATCTTTTCTAGCCAAGTAACCCCAATCCGATTCGATGTCCATCCGTTTTCTGACGTCGTATATAACCAATCTGGCACGTTATCTGCTGTATACCACGTTGTTTGTAGGTCCTTCCCTTTGAAAATGACAAGGCAGCATGTCTTCTGGCCTATAGCTGAGATTGACTCAATAATTGAGACCCACTCACAATCCTGCGGAGCTTTCACGTAAGTACGTGACTTTTTAGAGCTTGCAAGGACTTGTGTATTCGTACAAAGGCCAAGAGCAATACCTTGCTCATCCATATTCCAAATATTCTGAGGCTGGACTTGACGCTGCTCTTGAATACGGTGGAAGTGGTCGAAGAATGTGCGTAATTGCTCAGAACTCGTTCCCTCAATGCGAGAAGCTTCAATTCTCCTGCCTATAACAGAAGCAACGCGTGGATTCCGTTGTAGAAAGCTAGACACCTATTTCTTGCCAAGTGGCTCCGTCTCGCTGTTCATATGCAGAATGCGGGCGGCCATTTCTCGCGCTCGTGCATGAGACGGAGGATATCCACGTGAGTCTTCCTCGAGGATCCAATCGGCAAGAAATTCCTCTTGCCCTGGCGTCAGTCTCTGCTGTTGTTCATGGCCAACGCATGTGTTTGTAGAGCCTTTGAGTCTCGAGGCGAGGGTCGTCCATGGGATATTATACGCCTTTGCAGCAGCTGATTGGGTAGAATAAACACCAGATTCGAAATCCTTGATAGCTGATTGTATGGCAAACTCTCGGGTAGCGTTTTGAGACATGTTGTTGAGTAGGAAGAGTCGTGTTCTAGACAGATGCGTCGAGGTGGGGTGACGAGAACGGGGGGGTGACAAAAACTAGGGTGCCGAGCTTAATATGTGTCTTGGATCTGCTGTTTTAAGGGCCATGTAGTGGGGAAAGAGATGGTCAACGAGGAAATGACGTCTACGCGGTGCACGGGGGATTAGACCAATTTTGCAACTCTGACCTGACCACTTTAGCGTTGACCAAATCCAAAAGGGGCTTGGTACCGACCGACCTTTGTCTAGGCCACAGGCTTGGCAGCCCATTTGGACGTCCGACTGCACACCTCTGGCCATTACTTGTCAGAGGTGTGCAATTCTGTATATAGTATAGCGTAGATTAGTCATAGCAATTGTGAACCTCATGTTGTGATACCATTCGTGGTACTATTCGTGATAAATGTGATAATATTGTACAATATACGACTATGGATACCCACCCCCCCAATCTAAATGATTCTCAGAATACTGAGAATAATCATCAACGCTCCATGAGCATCACTTGGGCAACCCCAGCCCCAATCCCATCCATCAAGACAGCGACCCAGTCGCCGTCGCCGTCGCCATGGCCCCCCTTGCCCATACCTGGTCCTATGGGCCGCGCCCAATTCTCGCCGGCATCCTTGTCTATGGCGGCTGAGGACTATGCGACCGCAGCCCTCGCTGTCTCCAATTCCCAGCTCCCAAAACTCCCTCGAGCCTGGCCCCTTGCCCAGCCACATCTCACCGACAAGGAGAAGCTGACGGTTATCCAATTGCTCTTGGCCACAAAGAGCTTTTTGGCAAGGCCAGCAACACAGCTTTCTGGAACGTTGTTGCTAGAGCGTTTATGTTTGTGTCTGAGAAGACACACACAACGCTCTGGCGGGTGGTCAAGGTCCTCATGATCAAGCAGAAGGAATACCTCCTAAACCACGGTAGCGGCGAGCAAGACAAGACAGACTCTATGTCTGATGCCATTGACGAATGGATCCATGTAAGGATGCCTCCGTACCTAGATACTCGAAGAACCTGTAAGGATGCCTCCGTACCTAGATACTCGAAGAACCTGTCTCAGAACTGTTACGGTCACTACAAGCATGGAATCCGACTCGGTGTGGTTTCGAAGCAGTAGAGGAGCACATAGCGAGTTACACTATAGTGGTGGATGGTAAGGGTGTAGGGTTCAGGGTCGATGCTGACCTGTTGTGGTGGAAGGATCAGGGCTAGGGTTGGGATAACCGAGTCGGGCCCGTTTCGGGTACTCAAGGAAACAGACTCAACGGGGTTCCCCATTCATCTTTTTTGTATCCTTTATAGTAGACCTATAGGATAGCATCCGTTTAGCCTCCGACTCGCACTCTCATTTGCTATTACTGTGAGCTGGGTGCCCTGTGTCCTTACAATCCAGGTCCAAGACAAGCGGACGAGAAGAGACGCTGCCCGAAAGGCTGCCCAGGGCGCCGCCGAAGCCGAGACTGAGCACTCGCAGGCATGTCGAGAGTCCAGGTTCCAGACCTGGACCAAAAAAGATGCCCTTGCTGATGGGCAGGCGCCGTCGCCCAGACTGGCAGACGGGCAGGAAACGGATCCGGATCCAGATTCCGTCGACGACAACGACGACGAAACAGACACTGCCTCAAGCGTCACACTGAGCAGGACACCAAGTCGTGCTGCCAGCTGTGTCATACTGACATTCGTTGCACTCAGTTTGCTATCAAACTCAAGAGCAAACTTAGAAATCTCCTCCTCAAACCTACAAGTCACTATACATATTTTGGCTTGTCACACCAACAACAAGAGTGTGATGTAGTGAAGTGGTTCAGACAAGTTGCAACAAATGTTGAGTCTGGGAACTCAGGGGTAAGTCAGAGGTTAACACCTCACTGACTTTTCAGAAACAAGGAGTAACAAGATGAATGCTTGGAAGCTTGGAAAAGACGTGGAAGTATGTGATAGTCGATTTACTGTATTGTCTGCTTGCCCTTTCTTAAGGAAAGGGCAATCCTATTTATGCCAAAGGAGTGTAGTTCTCTCATTTTCCATGACTTTCCATGACTAACCAGGCTTGGTAAATGTATTAGAAATCAAGTGCGACCCACAACTAGCTTGCTAATCATGTAGTGAACGTAAGAGAATCCCATTGGGTTCCTAGCCTATAGGAAGTGAAAAGGAGGTCCAAGGTCAGAGTACCTATAGATAAATTATGTCATAACTTAACCAATCTTGTGGGTAACTAAGGAGCGATGACGTGTAATGAATCATAGAGGTTCGTAGGAGCTTTTAGAGCTATCGTTCATGTTCCTAGGCCTCTAGTTGGTAGAGATATGCCATGTGGTAGTATTGGCCCACCCCCTTAAGGAGGAGATTTTCTTAATAACTTGTTCAATGAGTGTCCAAATGATATGCCGTGATGTATGTAGCATAAACAGATGTAGTAGAAGAGTTTGCAGCAATCGTTGAGTAGTATTGCTTCTGTTGTTGGTGTGATAAGCCAAGATATGTATGGTGACTTGTAGGTTTGAGGAGGAGATTTCTAAGTTTGCTCTTGAGTTTGATAGCAAACTGAGTGCAACGAATGTCAGTATGACAAAGAGCAATACTACTCAACGATTGCTACAACCCTCTATGATTCATTACACGTCATTGCTCCTTAGTTACTGGGCCGATATGACCACATAGTTACAACCCTCTATGATTCATTACACGTCATCACTCCTTAGTTACCCACAAGATTGGTTAAGTTATGATAATCTGTCTATAGGGGTACTCTGACCTTGGACCTCCTTTCACTTCCTATTGGCTAGGAAGCTAGAAGATGGTTCTATGGGATTCTCTTACGTCGACTACAGTTACCAAGCCTGATTAGTCATGGAAAGTCTTGGAAAATGAGAGAACTACACTCCTTTAGCATAAATAGGATTGCCCTTTCCTTAAGAAAGGGCAAGCAGACAATACAGTAAATCGACTATCACATACTTCCACGTCTTTTCCAAGCTTCCAAGCATTGATCTTGTTACTCCTTGTTTCTGAAAAGTCAGTGAGGTGCTAACCTCTGACTTATCCCTGAGTTCTCAGACTCAACATTTGTTACAACTTGTCTAAACCACTCCACTATATCATACACCTGATTGCTGCGTTGTGGAATAGTATAAGCTACGACCCTTTGGCTCTTTTTCCTAAGACAGTGTGTTGTCTTTGAAAAATCACCCCTTCCTTGGGTGGCTAGATTCTCACATCTGGTGCACCCACCATTACAAGCCGCCGGTTCCAAGCTGCGAAAGGAAAGGGAAAGGAAAAAGAGAGCCAATTCGAGTCGGATTTCAGTTGGTTTGTGGACTCGTATACAGCCCAAGGCCATAGAGTCAGAGGTGGTGGCGGAAGCGGAGAGGGGGTTGATGCCATTGTTGAGAAACTGCTTGGAGACCTAGAACGAGAAGTTAGCACAGTAAGTACAAATGTTAGTACAATGCTTGAACTTCTTATAAGGAAAAGGATAGGATGGAGGAGGTGGAGGGGTCGAGAGATTGGTCTCTCAACAGGGAGTATTAGGTACAAGATCATAAGATCTTATGATTCTTACGAGCACAAAAGAGAGAGAGAGAGAATGTACATACCTTAGATAGAGTATTTAGACAAATCCAAATACTTGTGAACTCTGGAGGGAGCACCAAAAACTGATTCCGCCGTCTTTGTCCACGAAGACAGGTGTGACAATTGGTCAGCAAGATTGCTGACACAAAGACAGCTGCCACTAGAGACCAACCAGCCCATACAAATGCAGTATGCGTCCAAAGGACCTGCGTTTTGCCAAACGCTCTCTCAACCTCTATCCGGACACTTGACAAAGCAGTGTTAAACTGCTGCTTGTCATCGTCAAGCATCCTCCGGCCTTCCGGATGCTCAAAGGGACAGGAGATGCCATATGCGGCAGAGTATGCTGGGTCGCCCTAGACATAAAGGAGGGAATTCCCCTCCATAACCTGTAGATATGTTAGTATAGCTTAAATAGAGAGAGAGAAGGGGAGAGAGAGAGAGAGAGAGCAAGATATATCTTGCGAATAGCTGCTTCGCAGTCAGACTTCCGCCACATAACCCAGTCATTCGTTGGACCAGGAAAGGGGCCAACGAGCGATGAAACCAGCCCATCAGGTGTAACAATAGCTTGATAGTTCAAGCCATTTTCCCGTTTATGCCCAGAGTATACCTCCCTCTGAGCATCTTGGCCAACTGGACGGCAATGGCCTCGAAAGGTGCCATCCACAAAGCCCCAGACACCGTCCACCCCTCCAATCCGTCTCACACCCGCTGAGAACTCCGCTAGCCGCGAGTATCTTGTTAGCTGGTGATGCCAGCGCAAGACCGGACCAAACACCTCTGCCAGCCAGCAGCACACGTCGTTAAAGACAGTGCAGAGCCAACTCTCCGACCGGCCAAAGATGTCAGTGAGAGGGGCCCACCGCCCAGGCGATGAGAGACGGGCGCACAGCACGCACAGAGCTGTCTCTGGATCTGCCTGATAATGGCTTCGCCAGGAGATTTCTCCAAGTCAACTGAAAACCGGAGCCAAACTCGTGCACGTACGGCGGGCATATTAATGTCCAAAGAAAACTGGTGGTGCAAATATTCATATGGCAGTACTCGACGAGCAGCCTGCTGGCGCAGACGCTTGTGTTGATAATGCAAGCATGCTGCCACCACAGCAACAGCGACAGCATCATTGTTATCCTCCTCCTCGTCCTTCTCCTTGTCGTCGCTGTGACCGTGACCCTCCTCCTCCTCGATTGGATGGAAATTGAGAGGCTCGATGTCCTCTCGGAGCCAGTCTAGCAGGTCCACCCTTCCCAAGCCCTCATCCAAGCTCTCGGCCGACATGTCAAAATCTGGCAGTGCTTCCGAGGGCCAGCGACGAGAGAGAAAGTCTGAATGCCACAATGAGGGCGGAGGCTAGCGAATCAGCAGGCGACAGCTACGGGCAACAACTGGTAAGTCAAAGGCGAGACAAAATAGAGAGCCAGAGTAACGACGTACCAGGACACAGGACTTGATTTTGGTCCGTTGGTCTTGTTTTTAGGTGAGAACAGGGTTTATATTGCCTGTTACGGCAAGCGTCAGAGTCACGGGATCAGAGCAGGGATTACGGGCAGGGGACCCCTGAATTGGTCACGTCGTGCATATGGTCAGGTCAGAGTTGCAAAATTGGTCTATTAAGCAACGAAAAAGGTCAGGATTGGTGGATCCATGGATTGACGGCCCCTGATCAGCACCAGGGGCAGAGCGGATGGCAGACAGATATCCAAGTTGCTGGTTGTTGCCTGGTACCATAACTGGAACAACATGGCCGAAACCGTTCATTTTATAACCTTGATATTTAAAAGTCGAAGTTCCCTCGAGTTTATCCTTCCTTATCATCATGACTAGACCACCAGATAGCAAGCAAATGGAACTTTTCATCCCTTAGGACTCTAAACATTCTTGCTTGCAGTGAACATCCAACTGGAATGCTCACAGTGAAGAGTCGTAATCGAAACCAATCCGGGCAACCACTTCTCGGCATCAATTTATGGGATTATCGACGCTAATTATGCCAATTACGCCACCTAGCAGGGCTATTACAGGGCTATGTGACACGCGTCAACGCGCAATTGAAGCTATTCGCAGTGTGCCATCGCAGCTGTAAACAGTCTGGTGAGTCAAATCTCTTATATCGATACAGGTGCAAGCCTATTCTACTATAATACAGTCTTGTGCCAGGTCAAACACCTCAATCTGCTCGATCTGAGTCTACGGTTCGGCGGGCGACCTAGGATGACGTCGCTGTCGCTGCCTCCCACCACCACCACCTCAACCCACGGCAGCCATGTCTCCCCACCGGCATTCTAGCCCTTCCATCGCTCCCTCACCCTCTGCCATCACCGTGGCCATCCTCTTCAGGACCCTCGCCGCTGCAACCTTCCTGTGCCACTTTCCATGGAGTTAAACGGTTTAGTCAGTACCCTTCCCATCAACGCTCTTGAGAAATTCTCCCGGAAGTGAGTATGGAAGCACATCAGGCACAAATTGGCTTCAGGTTCAAACTGGACGTCATTCAGAAACAATAGCTATTATACATCAAATCAATCCCTGGTATCATTGTGTCGCATAACTTCCCCAAGACCCTGTTCCTCGGAAACTTCTTGAACGCCTTGACGCATGTGATAAGAGACGTTGCTTGTGGATCAGCCCAATAATGCATCTTCATGTCCTCAATGGGATAGCGGCATTACTAATGTAACTCTACTGCCCGACCTCTTTTCTTAGGCTTTTTGAAGGCTCTCTCGATCCCTTGAGACAGGGTCGTGTCTGGAGTGATATCTCGTGATGGAGTACGGCTTGGCTGGCTTTCAGCTTCCTCTTGTAGAGATGCAGCACCATAACTTGATTCGCGAGAGAGATGGTGGCTTTGCAACCCCTGTGAAAGTCCAGAACCCCCTAGGCCGGATTGCTGCGACACCTCAAAATCTAAATCGGGCGGTAAATCATCAATAACCGAGCAGATTCTTTTGAAATGAGTCGGCATCCATATGTCGTAGACATTTTTAGTGAACCTGTATGCAGTCCATTTCTCTTTGCCATCCAGCGATGTAAAGTCGAACGTATGGATTGGGTGACGGTAGAAGGTTGTCTTGTCTCAGCTTATTATAGGATAGTGGCCGTAGATTCTCACCGTGCGATGGTCATGGGAGAGTGAGAAGGCGAGAATTTCCCAGTGGAGCTCCTCTTCGCGCTTCACTAGTCTAAAAAGTTCGACGATACCCCTCACTGCCATCGTCATGCTATGAGCATTCTGTCGGTCAGCTACATCAAGTGCCGCGGTACCACATTTTACTTCGCACGTTAGAAACGGGAAGTACATCTGCCAGGTGCCCATGAAATAGGAGGTAAAGGTATCTGTGACCTCGCCAGCGAAAGGCGTAAGCTTTTTGAGTTGATCGTCTGTGAACGCAGATCGTCCAAACCCCACAGAATAATCAGGTTGTGGACGCGGACCGTAAAATGTTATAGCACTATTCCAGCCTTCATTGACAGTTTCATTTAGACATTTAAGATGCTTGGCGCCATAGTAGGAACGCGGACCTTCGGAGGAAGGTCAGCGTTCAGTCTTCGTATCAATAGACCAGGATTCTACGTATATTCCTTCCCGTGACTTCCCACTGCCCTACTCGCCAAGAAGTCCTTTACATTCTGAACGCTCCACCATTCCTACGATTAGGAAGAGTAGCCCAGTGAGGGAAGTCAAAAGAGAAGCCGAACCCATGCCGCCACGCACCCGCACTCAGACCGCAGACACCGAAGGGAGTGGCAGTCGCGAAGCAGCGTCTCTGCCGCCAGCTGAAAGTCAGCAAGGGATCGAGGCCCAGCTAGCAACTGCCCAGGCCATCGAGGAAGAACTCCTTGCAAAGCTCCAGCTCAAGGAGGCGGCCGAGCGAATTGAGCGGCTAAGGAAGCGGTTGGAAGACGGGGACGTTGCGGAAGTTCTACCGCCAGGCCTCCCCGTCGACGACCAAAGTGTCGCATCATCCAGCTCCGTCTCTTACGGGGGACTGCCGAAGAGCATAAGACCCCGGCAGATCGCGCCATACAAGAGAAGAACGGTCAGAGAGCACTCGGAATTCGTCACAAGCTGCGAGTTAAGCTTTCGGTTAGAGCCAAGTCTAAATAAATCAGACGAGCTCCGCTGTGACTTGGCGGCAACGTGGCTCGAGGGCGAACCTCGAGACGCATGGCTTCGACACGAGAAGGAACCTGACTTCCAGAAGACTTGGAAGGGGTTCAAGAAGTTCCTTCTTGACCTCGTTGAGGATCCAGTTAATTGGGGCCTCTCAACAGCGATCAAATACGAGGAGGCGCGCCAGCGACCCGGACAATCTGCGCAAACCTTTGCGACCTACCTCGAGACGTTAGAGGGGGAGTTGAAGGCATACAGTGAAGAACATCGAGTTCAGCACTTCCTCGCAAAGCTCCGGCCCGATCTACGCTTGAGGATAATCACTTATCCTGAGATTCCGCGGACGCGAAGCGCCCTTATAGCGCTCGCCTCCCGGTTTGAACAAGCCAACCTACCAAAGGGCCAGGAAAAGGGGGGTCAGAAGGACCACAAGGAAGAAAAGAGGGGGGAGAATCCTTACAAGAGGGGTTCGCACCCCCACCAGGGAAGTCGAAGCGGAGAAAGAGCAGGAGTGAAGCGCTCGCGTCTCTCAGATGAGGAAGAGAAGCGGCGAAGGGACAACAACCTCTGTTTCCATTGTGGAAAGGAGGGACACCGCACCGCTCAGTGTTTCTTAAGGAACGGTGAGGTTGCGCAGCGCATTCGAGCGGTACAGCAGGGGAGCCAGCTAAAAGGCATCCTGCAAGCAAAAAACTAGGGCCCTCTATCCAAATCCCGATGGATGGAGCGGTTACCCAGGGGAAGAACAGCCTGTCGATTCTCGTCGACGTACGAGGAGTGGAAGCGTGGTGACCCCTTCGCGCGCTCGTTGACAGCGGCACAACCGCCAACCTCATATCCCACTTAGTGGCAAAAGAGCTCGGGGGAGTGTGGGAACCAAGCTACACCACAGCAAGGGGTGTAGGAAGCCAGGAAATACCTCTCTTCGGGAAGTCTCAGCTCACCCTCCGCATCAAGGACGATGGGGGCAAGATGCAAGAAAGAGAACACCTCTTTGCGTCTACAGTTATGGAGGAATACGACCTCATGTTAGGGTATCCATGGCTTCTCTGCGAAAACCCAGTGATTAATTGGACGCAGGGGACGTGGAGATTCCCTACTGACAACATCCAATATCTCTCAAACGAGGAAGCGGAAGAGCTGCGGGGGCAAGGCGGACCAGTGTATGTAGCAATGCTACACCGAATGGACGACCCCCAGGAACCCCAACCTACACCAACAGTTCCAAGGGAATACCAATCTTTTGAGGATGTCTTTGACGATGAAGGGGCAGTGTCGCTCCCAGAATACTCAAAGAGGGCAGAGCATGCCATCGATATTGAGGAGGGGAAGCAACCCCCGTGGGGACCAATCTACAGCCTCTCAGAAAAGGAGTTGGCGACGCTTAGGGGTTACATTGAGGATTCGCTTCAGAGGGGCTGGATCCATCACTCGACGAGCCCAGCTGGAGCGCCCATCCTTTTCGTCCCAAAGCCAGATGGCTCGAAGCGCCTATGTGTCAATTATCGAGGGCTTAATGCCATGACAGTGAAGAATCGACACCCAATCCCTCTTATTTCGGAAATACTCGACCGCCTAAGCGGGGCCGCAGTGTTCACAAAGCTTGACGCAAAGGATGCGTACCAGCGTATGAGAATCCGAAAGGGGGACGAGTGGAAAACTGCCTTCCGAACAAGGTACGGCCTGTTCGAATATTTAGTGATGCCGTTTGGGCTGTGCAACGCCCCCGCATCATTCCAGGCGTATATCAATGAAGCGCTCGCAGGCCTTGTAGACGTGATGTGCATTGTCTACCTTGACGACGTCTTGATCTATTCGAAGCGCAAGGAAGGGCATCCGCAACACGTCCGCACTGTTCTCGAACGCCTACGGAAGTTTAAGATCTACTGCAATCTAAAGAAGTGCAAATTCTCAACAAAAGAGGTTAAGTTTCTAGGCTTCATTGTGTCTACGAAGGGGGTCTCAATGGACCTATCGCGGGTCGAGACAATCACAGACTGGCCAGTGCCAACAACCTTCCGAGACCTACAGGTCTTCTTAGGCTTTGCGAACTTCTACCGGAGGTTCATCGCGGACTATTCGCGTATTGCGCAACCGCTCACAGAACTCCTTAAGGGGAGTGAGAAAGGGAAGAAGGTAGGCCCGTTCCTCTGGAACGTTGAGGCAG